CTCTTTCCTTCGTTCAGCTATTGTGGACATTCCTGCTATAAACATTCGGGTGCACGTGCCCCTTTGGATCACTATGTTTGTATCTTTAGAGTAAATACCCAGTAGTGCAATTGCTGGGTTGTAGGGTAGCTCTATTTTCAACTTTTTGAGGAACCTCCACGCTGTTTTCCAGAGTGGTTGCACCAGCTTGCATTTCTACCAACAGTGTAAAAGTGTCCTCGCCAACATCTGTCGTTTCCTGACTTGTTAATACTTTACTACTTTTGGCCATTCTGACTGGCGTGAGGTGGGATCTCATTGTGATTTGATTTGTATTTCCCTGATGCCAAGCGACGTTGAGTATTTTTTCACGTGTCTGTTGGCCATTTGTATGTCTTCTTTGGAAAATTATCTGTTCATGTCTTCTACCCATTTCTTGATTGCATTATCTGTTCTTTGGGTGTCGAGTTTGATAAGTTCTTTATAGATTTCGGATACTAGCCCTTTATCTAATAAGACGTTTGCAAATATCTTCTCCCATTCTGTCAGCTGCCTTTTGGTTTTGTTGACTGTTTCCTTTATTGTGCAAAAGCTTTTTTTTTTTTTTAAGATTTTATTTATTTATTTGACAGACAGGGATCACAAGTAGGCAGAGAGGCAGGCAGAGAGAGACGGAAGGAAGCAGGCTCTCTGATGAGGGGCTCGATCCCAGGACCCTGGGATCATGACCTGAGCCGAGGCAGAGGCTTAACCCACTGAGCCACCCAGGCGTCCCTGTGCAAAAGCTTTTTATCTTTTTTTTTTTAAAAGATTTTATTTATTTATTTGACAGAGACACAGAGAGAGAGGGAACACAAGCAGAGGGAGTGGGAGAGAGAGAAGCAGGCTTCCCGCTGAGCAGAGAGCCCAATGCTTAGCTGGATCCCCGGATCCTGGGATCATGACCTGAGCCAAAGGCAGACGCTTAATGACTGAGCCACCCAGGCACCCCAAAAGCTTTTTTTTAAAAGATTTTATTTATTTATTTGACAGACAGAGATCACAAGTAGTCAGAGAGGCAGGCAGGGAGAGAGGGGGAAGCAGTCTCCCCACCGAGCAGAAAGCCCGATGTGGGGCTCAATCCCAGGACCCTGAGATCATGGCCTGAGCCAAAGTCAGAGGCTTAACCCACTGAGCCACGCAGGTGCCCCCGCCCCAAAAGCTTTTTATCTTGAAGTCCCAATGGTTCATTTTGTCTTTTTCCATTGGATGTTCTTTCCTGCTTTGTTGAGGATTAGTTGACCATAGAGTTGAGGGTCCATTTCTGGATTCTCTATTCTGTTCCCCTGATCTATGTGTCTGCTTTTGGGCGAGTACCAGGCTGCCTTGATGATTACAGCTTTGTCATAGAACTTGAAGCCTGAAATTGTGATGCCATTAGGTTTGGTTTTCTTTTTCTACATTCCTGTGGCTATTCAGTGTCTTTTCTGGTTTCATATAAATTTTAGGATTATTTGTTCCAGCTCTGTGAAAAATGTTGGTGGTATTTTGATAGTAATGTGTAGATTGCTCTGGGAAGCATAAACATTTTAACAATATTTGTTCTTCCAACCCATGAGCATGGAACTTTTCCATTTCTTCGTGTCTTCCTCAATTTCTTTCATGAGTGCTCGATAACTTTCAGAGTACATATCCTTTCCCTCTTTGGTTATTCCTAGGTATCTTACAGTTTTTGGTGCAATTGTAAATGGGATCGACTCCTTAATTTCTTTCTTCTGTCTCATGGTTAGTATATAGAAATATAACTGATTTCTGTGCCTTGACTTTATCTCCTGCCATGTTGCTGAATTCCTGTATGAGTTCTAGCAATTTTGGGGTGGAGTCTTCTGGGTTTTTCACATAGAGTATCATGTCATCTGTGAAGAGAGTTTGACTTCTTTGCTGATTTGGGTGTCTTTTATTTCTTTTTGTTAACTGATTGCTAAGGCTAGGTCTTTTAGTACAATGTTGGACAACAGTGGTGAGAGTGGACACTCCTGCCCTGTTCCTGCCCTTAGGGGAAAAGCTCTGTTTTTTCCCATTGATTATTTTGCTGTGGGCTTTTGTATATGGCTTTTATGATATTGAGGTATGTTCTCTCTATCCCTACACTGTGAAGAATTTTAATCAAGAAAGTATCCTGTACTTTGTCAGATGTTTTTCTTTTCCTGCATCTCTTGAGAGGATCATATAGTTCTTGTCCTTTCATTTATTAACGTAGTGTATCACAATGATTGATTTGTGGATGTTGAACCACCCTTGCAGCCCAGGAATAAATCCCTCTTGGTTGTGGTGAATACTCTTTTTAACATACTGTTGAATCCTACTGGCTAGTTTCTTGGTGAGAATTTTTGCATCTGTGTTCATCAAGAATATTGGTTTGTAATTCTTTCTGGTGGGGTTTGGATTGAGGTCTGGTTTTGTCTGGTTCTGGGATCAAGATAATGCTGTCCTCATAGAGTCTGGAAGTTTTCCTTCCATTTCTTTTTTTTTTTTTTTTTTTTTTTTTTTGTTTGTTTTTGGGATAAAGATATTTTTTTTTTTTTAGTGTTTGGATTTTTTCCTTTTTTTTTTTTTTTTTTTTTTTTTTTTTTTTTTTTTGGATCAACTTCAGAAGAATAGGTGTTACTTCTTTAAATGTTGGGTAGAATTCCCCTGGGAAGCTGATTGTCTCTTGTTTGTTGGGAGATTTTGATAACTGCTTCCGTTTCCTGGCTGGTTATGGGTCTGTTCAGGTTTTCTATTTCTTCCTGTTTCAGTTTGAGTAGCTCAGTTTCTAGGAATGCACCCATTTCTTCCAGATTGCCTAATTTGCTGGCCTAGAGTTGCTCATAACATGTTCTTATAATTGTATTTCTTCAGTGTTGGTTGTGATCTCTCCTCTTTCATTCATGATTTTATTTATTTGGGTCTTTTTTCTTTTTGATAAGTCTGGCCAGGGGGTCATCGATCTTATTATTTTTTTCCAAGAACCAACTCCTAGTTTCATCGATTTGTTCTACTGTTCTTTTGGTTTCTTTTTCATTGATTTCTGCTCTGATCTTTATTCTCTTCTCCTGCTAGGGTTAGACTTTATTTGCTGTTCTTTCTCCAAAAAGTAAACAATTTTATGAGCCTTGTAACAAAAGCTGGCAGTTCTGTGTCCCAGCTGCTCCAGACGCTTGCTCCCATGACCGCATGCTTCAACATCTTACCTATTACTTTTAGCATTTAGCACCTCATCTGCAAAGCATGTGCTCGTAAGCCTTGAAAATCCTGGTGGATGTTCATGCTCAAGTTTCTGGAAACTTCAGTTCTTTACCACTTCTCTTCTGTGTTGAACTCCGTTGCTTGGGTCCCAGGTCTTCCTTCCCCTTCACTGACTTTACTTCTTTACTTTGGAAGAGCACATCTTCTGGGGGCTTCCTGAGAATGGATGTGAAAGTGCCTGCGAAGGTCTTTGTTCAAGCTCTGACCCTGTCTGGCTGGGTATGGAATTCTAGAATGGAAATCCTTTGTCCTCGGAAGCCTGGCTCCATAGTCTTCTAGCTTCCTGTCCCATGTTACTCGAAGCCACATCTCCTACAGTCGCCATGCTATTCCCTCCCGTTCCTTCCTGCCTGGGGAACAGCAACCTCCAACCCAACTCCCTCAACTCCCCTGGCACCTGAGGCATCTTTTAAAATCTCTCCTGTCCCCTTGCCCTGCCTGGGTGTGCCTATGTGCCTATCCTCCTGATTCGGCCTCACAGAAGCCCAGATACTAGACGGGTGGGGCAGAGATTTTGGAAACACCCACAGGCTAATCAAATCCCCCTCACAAATGTTACACCCCAAAATCCATGCTCTTTTTTCCCCTCCCAATGTGTTTTTCCTGGAGAGGAAACAGACTTCTGGCAGAACTGGGTGAATTGAGGGCATTTCATTTGAAGCAGCTTTCCAATAATTTGCAAATGCCTGCCCCATGCCTACTTGAAAAGCACAGTCTACAAAAAGGCCAGCAGCATCTCATCTCATAAATAAGGTCAGCAGTCACAATAAGGAACATTCCTACAGAACAATATGGAAAGGACTGACGGCCTGATAAAACGTACTATCATAGAATGAAGACCCCAAACCCTTCCCACCACAGAAGCAGAGGGGGCTCTCTTCCTTTCTTTCCCCCTTTCAGGGTGTGGGAGCAGCTTGTCACACATGTGTGCTGGGGCTTTGGGCTGGGGGGTGGGTTGGGGGTGGTGATGGTCAGAATCTGTACATGGCAAGAGCCAGCAATGCCGGCCACTGGGCCAGCCCAATCCTGCTTCCCTCGCTGCTGGGTCTCTCAGCAACTGTCGGCCCAGCTGGGCAGCAAGGTGACTGTCTGCTGTCACTTGGTCAGGATGTGCACTGCGAGAGCCCCCCTCCCCATGTCCGGGGAGTCCCCAACTGCGGAGTCCTCCTCAAAGCTTGTTGCCCGGGCTGTACTGACCGGAGGCCTGGCCCCGCCCTCGAACAGAGCCACAGGCTGGGGAGCCACCTGCAGGATGCGGTGTGCGGCTGGGGCCACAGCTGGGGCCACGGGATTGCATGTGTTATCCTTTAAAAAAATTCTTGCAAAATAATTATTCATGAGTATGTAAAAATGCACATATAGCACCAACAGTTGTAAAGCCAACATCCTTGTAACCACCACCCAGATCAAGAAGTGAAGTGTTCTGAGTAACAGAATTACAGCTGCTCTAGGTCCCAGTGCCCACTTCCAGAAACACTAACAAAAACGTATGTCCAGGTAACATCAGGAAAGCATCATCTGAGCAGGAAAAACAAAAACAAAGGGAGCCAGCGCTGGCCCAGCGCTATACACAACACTGTACTTAGTCCCCACACCCTGGGTGATGGGGACAGGGGCCGAGGCTGTGCCCAGCTAAGACGGCTGATCGGAGCGGGGGCAGGGAGGGCCTGCCTGCCTCAAGGTTGCTTCATTTTGACCACGTGTATACAAAACAGAATCTTCAGGTGCTCATCATTATTATTATTTTTGAAGATTTTGTTTATTTAAGGGGGGAGGGGTAGAGGGAGAGAGCGAAAGGGTCTTAAGCAGACCCTGACATAACGACCTGAGAAGAAACCAGAAACCATGCCCCTTATGTTTCTGTTGAGTAACTCCAATGAACTCAGCCTACCTACGTAGCCACAGATAGGGGCAAAGCTTCCTGCTCAGAAATATGCATCGTGGTGGAATTTTTACAGCCCCAAATAAAACAATGCCAACGTGTCTGATATGGGGTCCCCTGAGCAATCCAAAAGTAGAGTGTCCTTACGAGAGCTTTCATAGGCAGAAAGGGCACACAGCAGAGAGTGTCCTTGGCTTGCCCAAGTTTGCCCTTCTGCCACCTTGCTTTACAAAAGACTCCAATGGCACCTGTCCGCACTAACCAAAAGAAATCCGGAACCGTGCTAATGCAGGTCTTTTAGGAAAGCCAAGCGGCAGAACTTGAACTTTTGGAGGGCGGAGGGTACCTGTATTAGGGAAATAAATTCTGATGGTCATTAGAAAGACGGTTTATATGGTTATCATTCAGGGGAAAATATTAATACCGTGAAAAATGGGTATGCTAAATTAAAAAATGTAAAAAACACAAGTGTTTTTAAAATGCAATCACAAGGATGTACAAAAGCAACTAAGATCTACCAAAATGTTAAGAAAAAAAAAAAGAGGAAGGAAGTAAAAAATCACTTTTCTCTAGGTTTTCTGCAGGAATTGTCCATGCTTTGTGGCCCGCCCCCAACCTCCCGCCCACCGCCCCACTCCTTTGAGCTACGTCACTTTCACGGGAGGCCAGCGGGCCGCGGAGTGTGTGTGCTGCACCACACTGTGTGGGGAGGCCTGACTGCGCGTGCTCCGCTGCAGGACCAGGAGCCCACGGGCACCGCGACAGCCTCAGAATGCCGCGGCGGCGTGGAGAAGTGGGCTCTGCTTGGGCAGGGTCCTCCTGTTTTAGTCCCTTTCTCGTCCCCGTGTCCTTCAGTGATGCTGGAGAGCGAACTCCGGTTGGGGGCTCCCTCCCAACCTCTCTTCCCAAGTGGCCCAGCCTAGTTCTGAGTTGATCTCCTGGCCCAAAGCTGGTCCCGTTATCGCTGTGGCCTCAGGTCCCCAAGCTAGGGTCTGGGCAGCTTTTGGGCACAAAGGTATGGTGGCACCTGTTCCTGGCCCAGAGCTCCATCCTGTTCCTTCCTCAGCTGGGCTCTGAGGCCTCTTCCTGGAGCTCCGAAGGGAGCCTGGCCTCGGGCCGATGGCACAGGGTCAAAGTCCTACCCTCCAGGAGCCAGAAGACAGGGTAGAGGGGCTGGGTGAAGATGGCATGGAAGGTATGCAGGCGCTGGGCCCTGGGCTCCAGGCAGTAGAAGGTGAGGCAGCCGGAAACCAGGTCCAATTCCATGCCCAGGAGCCGCCCCGACACCTTTGGGAGGAGCTGGGCCTCCCCGTTGTGCCAGGCCTGCGCCCTGTCCTCCTGAACACAGAGCCCCCAGGAGCTGGGCCCGCGCCCGATGTTGTCCGTGTGGGGCCCCCACTTGCGCCGCGTCAGGTCTGGGTAGGCGACGCCCAGAGTCACCGAGTGGTTAGATGTGTGCACCTCCCAGTAGTGTCGCCCGTTCTGGAAGCTCTGGGCGCACCGCACCTGCCAGAGCTCAAAGCTGCTTGGCCCAGCCGGGTCCCGGGGCTTGTGCTGGTGCTTTACCTGCTGGTCCTGCCGAGATACGTAGAGGTGGCGATTGGCGCTGTCCGGGTCGAAGGTCAGATTGCGGTAATCTGCCAGGGACAGACGGACGGGGGGGCGGGGAGGTGAGCAGGCAGGTGCCTGTGCGCCCTCACCGTCCTGTCCCCAGAGGCAGGGATGGCGACTGGAGCTCTGCCAGGGCAAAGCCACACGGCTGTCAGGCGTGCAGCTAGGGGCGATGTCCCCACAGCAGGCAGCCACCTCATTTCAAAGATGAAAAAAAACTGAGGCTCCCCAAGATAACCTAACTTGGTAACTAGTGCGAGAATCATAACCAAGCCCAGGTTTGCGGGGCCAGAATCTGCTTACATGCTCTGTTGGGTCCACATGTAAGAGGCTGTCCTCCTAGGACAGGTGCACAGAGGGGGAAGGGCATGGGGCAGACATCCTGGGCAGGGCAGTCATGGCATGTGCCCCCCCACCCAGGTATACAAGCACCCTCCCAGACACGCACACACATACGCACAGTGTACACATGAACGCACAATGCACACACGTCTATGCACACATATGCCGGCCTCCTTACTCTGCCAGAGTTTCCTCCTCAGTGGACAAACTGGGCTTGGGACTGGTGCCAGGGGACCTGGGCCCTCTAGGAGGCAAAGAAGTGTAGGGCAGCAATGGCGGGGAAGTCCTGGTGGGCAGAGTTCTGACCCGCCCCCCAGCCCACCCGCTGTGGGGTCAGCCTTACCCATGGGGCCTGAATCAGCAGCCTCAGCAGGTGCCCTGGGGCGGTCCCCCTCCTCCAGGAGGAGGCCACACAGCTGGCTCAGTGACTCCTTCAGGCCGGCCAGCTGCTGATCTTCGTCCAACTTCAGAGGAGTCAGAGGCCCAAGAGGCGCTGGGGGGGCCAGGAGCTGTGATTCCTGAGCCCCAGGGACAGTTGCAATGAGCCTGTGTGCTGGGGGCAGGGACGCTGGTCTCCCCAACCTGCTGCCCTGAGGCCTGCTACCTGGAGGAAGGTGCAGTCATCCAGCTGCTGCAGGAGGTCCCGGACCCTGCGGTCGTAACGAACCAAGGCCTCCCGGTGGCCCCGCAGTCGCTGTTCCGCATCCTGGGCCTGTGCTAGTGCCTGGGTCTCGGCCACCTTGATGTCCTTCAGTGCCAAGGCCCGTCGCATCTCCAGGGCCTGCAGCAGGCGGCTGAACTTGCCCGAGATCACGGAGGCCAGGGTGCAGGCCGAGGTCTGTGTGGGCGAAAGAGTGGTGGCCTAGGGCGGCCCAGGCCAAGGCTGCCCTCTGGGCTGAGGGGTGGGGATGTGGGGAGCCAGGGCCCCTGGAACCTTTCCCCCGACCCTGCTCAGTCTCTCCCTCCCTGCTGCCCAGAGGCGTTTTCAAGGCAGCTCACACCTACGGCCCAGTGTCCTGGGAGTGCCTGGGGGCTGCCCACAGGACACAGCCTGAGCACGCAGTGGGGTAGAGCAGGTGGGCCCGGTACCTGGATCTGGCTGCTTTGCTGCCGCAGCTCCTCCAGCTGCCTCTCCACCTGGGTCACCTGCTGCTGGCTGACCTCCAGCGTGGCTCTCAGCTGGGCCTGGGTGCCCACCAGGGAACAAGTGACAAGAGGGGACCATGGATAGCTGTGAAGTCCTCCCCTCAATCAACAAACAGGAGGGGATGTGGGGCATCCCCTCCTCGTGCCACCCCAGGCAAGGCTGACCAGTGGACTGGCCCTGGTCTGAGACAGGCGTGAACGGGGTCAGAGTCCCCGGGAGACCCAGACAGAGCCCATTCCCAACCCGGAGCGGGGAGGTACACAGGCAGAGCAGAGGCCTTGGGTTTTAAACCCGGCCTCCAGTTCTCTTGCAGGCTGAGCAACCTGGAGAGAGCACCCATGGTCTCTGGGCTGTAAACACCCCGCACCACCCCCGTCAGTAAATGGTGGGAGCCACACTTCCGGCTTCCGCAGCCTTGCAGGGAAGGGGTGACAGGTCCAAGCACTGAAGCTATTTGACCAGCGGGCAGTGTGGCACACGTACAGGGTGGGTTCTTCCAGATGCCCAGCCAGACCTCAGCCCCAGCTCTGGGCATGGGGGAGAAGAGTTCACTCCTATTTGTGACTCCTCTGGTACCCTGGAGGGTCAGAATGTTGTGCTTTTATGGGAGCAGGACAAAGCAGCATTCCCAACCCCTGGTCAAGAGTCCTTTGCTTCTGCTTTTCCAGGCCACAGTTTCTTTATGAGTCAAGGGCCATCAAGATCCCCACTTCACAGACGATAAAACAGGACAGAGAGTTGATAAACTGGCCGAAGCTGTCAGATCTTGCCAGCCCCATTGTCTCTGTCCAGGCCCATGGCCTCCCCCACTGTACAATGTGCCACAGGCAGGAAGTGGGGAGGGACACTCTTCTAGTTCCACCTGACTGTCCCCCAGGGATGAGCGTCTGTCCTCTCACACCTTGGGCGTGCACATGCCCCTTCAGCCTGCACGTGCCATTGCTTGTACCACCTGCCACTCCCTCCCTGTTGCTGTCACCTGCTGACCTGCGCTGCCCACTTGCATGCCAGGGCCTCAGCGGTAACATCTCACCGTCATTCTGTGACTTCTGAAGCCACAGGGGCGCCCTCCAACACGCCAACCTACTCGCCTGCAGAGCCCTTTCCTTCACTCCATTTCAGCCCCTCCGTGCTGGGGTCGCAACCCTGGGCCTGTCACCATCTCCGAAATCTCTATTCCAAGCACCTGTTTTCCCCTTTTATTCGGGAACACACACAAACATCCCAAAGCCTCCTCCTGCTGAAGCTGCCCGCCCCAGCCCGGGCGCCGAGAGACAGGGCAGGGGACCCCGGTGTCACCTCGCGCTCCCGACGCTCATCGTCCAGCAGCGCCCGCTCGTGGAGGAGACACTCGTTCACGGTGCACGCGCTGCATATGCAGCGAGCCTCGGTGCGGCAGAAGAGGTCGAGCGGCCGCCCGTGCCGGGGGCAGCGCGCGCCCAAGGCGGAGCCAGAGGCGGGGGCCGAGTCCGGGCCGGGGCCGACGCGCATCGCCTCGAGCACGGCGCTGAGCGCCACATTGCGGCGCAGCTCGGCGCCGTCGGGGAAGGGCTTCCGGCACTCCGGACACGCCTTGTCGCAGCCGCGTCCCCAGTCCCCGATGCAGGCCCCGCAGAAGTTGTGGCCGCAGGACAGCGTCACCGGCTCCACGTAGAGCCCCAGGCAGATGGAGCAGGTCAGCACGTCCTCCAGCCGCGGCGCGGTCATGGCTGAGGCCTCGGCGCAGCTCCGCAGGCGGGGGCCGGTGCTTCCGAAAGCGGGCGGGGCGGCGAGGGGCGGGCCCAGCGGGGCGCGGGGCGGGGGCGCGGGGCGGGGGCGCGGGGCGGGGGCGCGGGGCGGGGCGCGGGGCGGGGCGCGGGGCGGGGCGCGGGGCGGGGCGCGGGTTCCCCCGAGAGCCGGCGGGAGGAGCGAGGGCGCGTCTAGCTGGAGCCGAGCGGCTGTCGCCTCCCCTACCACCGACCTGGGCCCTCGCGCCTCCCACTTTCTTCCGTTCGTCCGGGCTCCGAGCCACCCTTGCTGCCTCACGCCGCCCCAGGGTGGGAGTTGGGGTCCGCCTGTCGGTGGTCCCACCCTGGGAGCTCCACCCTTTCCCCCAGACCCTCTAAGCAGCTCCTGTGTAGGGGAGCGGCCCCCGCCTCCAGGTACCAGAAACTTTGGGAACCCTGTTGGGCTTCGGAGCCTCTTCTTGGCTGAAGTCCCCCACGCAACCCCTCTGGGCCCCCCATCTGGAAACCTGGACAACAGCAGCTACTTCCCGGCAGTTTGGGCGATGAAAGGAGACTGCACGAGAGCGCTGGGCACAGGGCTGAGCTCCTTGGCGGCCTCTCCTGCCAGGAAGTGCTCCGCGGCCCTTTTCCTTCTGCTGTTTCAGCCATCTGCCAGATTGGGGTGTCTCCTTTCTCTAAGCTACGCCAAACTTTGGTGCTTTTAAAGTAAACAGTGAGGTGGAAATTTCTGGTCACCAACACAGAGACCAATCGAGTGTTTTTTTCACACCCCCCACAGTTCAACTGCTCTTGGAATCCACTTTCCCTGTGGGCCCCCTGCTGGGGAGTTCCTTGTTCGCAGGTGGGGAGTTCCGGGACCTCACTTTTTATTTATTTATTTATTTATTTATTTATTTATTTAAAGATTTTATTTATTTACTTGACAGAGATCAGAAGTAGGCAGAGAGCAGGCAGAGAGAGAGGAGGAAGCAGGCTCCGCGCTGAGCAGAGAGCCCCATGCGGGGCTCGATCCCAGGACCCTGGGATCATGACCTGAGCGGAAGGCAGAGGCTTTAACCCACTGAGCCACCCAGGCGCCCCTCTTTTTTTAATTTAAAGATTTGAAGGAGAGAGCAGAGAGTGAGCACATAAGGGGTAGGGGTGTATCAGAAGGAGAGGGAGCCCAATGCAGGGCTTGAGTCCAGGACCCCAGGATTGTGACCTGAGCCACCCAGACGCCCCTGGAACCTCACTTTTTATAGAAGATTAGCAGAGGAGAGGGATTCTGGGTCTAACCCACCTGCCCTGGGGCAGTGCGCTGGGCCACAGGGAGTTGACAGAGGATTAATTCTTGTTTTTCTAATCTGGCCTAACTTTGAGGCAGGGTTCCCTCTCGCTGCAATGCAGCACTCCATCTTCTGTGTTGTAATATGGGGAAGGTAGGTCTCCTCTTGACTGGCTACTTAGAGAGAGGAGAAAAAACACACTAACCACACAGAAGGGTACGGGGGCTTCTGGGTGTGCTCAGAGGTCTCACACCTGCTGCTCAGAGCACCCCAGCCTGTCGCTGGGAGCCTGCCACCAACCATGCTGTGAATATCCAGCAAGGAACCAATGCTCAGGGCTGGCAAAGCTCTTTCAAGAGCTCTGTGGGAGCAGCCAAGCCCCACTGCCTTTCTTCTGGACCCGTCTCCAGCCCCCTGATCTCAGGGCCCAACACCCTTCAGAGGCAGAGTTGAGGGGCTCACCTCCTGAGGTGGAAGGCAGTTCTCTTTCCATCCATGGAGGATTACAGAGCCATCGTGGGGTTGGAGCACTCCCAGAACACAGATCCAGACTAGCTACAGCAAAAATCATCTTTATTCACATGTCCCACCCCTGCCACCACTCCCGGAGAGCTCTTTTCATTCGCAAACCCTGGCCCTGCTGGGAGGGCCACAAAGGGGCTGCCTCAGGCAGGGCCTAGAAGCCCACAGCCCTGCGCAGTGGAGCTGTCTTTATTGTCCCTGCTGGTGGATCCCGAGGCCCGGTCTGCTTTCTGAGGTGGGTGGGGCACTCTGGCCACTTAGTAGATGCCATAGGTGGGTTCGTGACTGTCCCTGTACCGGTCCAGGTAGCGCAGGGGCTGCCGGTGGGGGAAGCGCTTCTGCTTGGGGTGGTAAGGGGGCGGCCGCACGAACTCAAACACAGGCTCCCGCATGTCTGTAGGAAGAGGGGGTACGGGTGTGGACTGACGCTGGACTGAGCCCCTTTCCCTCGTCTGTTAGCCTGCGACTGCCCAGCCCGCCCACCCAAGGAGTGGCGTGCCTGCCAGTGGCACTTCTCCCCGGCAGGTCAGGAGAGGCCTGTGAGCTCAGGCCAGCTGCCCCTGCCCCACCCCCAGCCCACTCTGGCCTTACCCAAAAGCTGGTGGAAGATGTGGGTGACCGAATCATCCCAGCGGCACTGGAAAAAGGCCAGACCAGCTGGTGTCATGGCTTCCTGGTGCTTCTTGTAGAAATCAAAAGTATGGAAGGTCCGCTGGGCAAGCTGGTAGCTATAAGAAGATGGGGAGCATTTAAGAGCAGGGAATGGGGCCTCAGAGCCCCACACCCCTCCCGCAGCCCCACAGGGAATCCTGAGAAGCCCCTTAGGATCTGCCTAGCACAACTACCCTGCTGCCCACCTCAAGCCCAAGTTAGAAGACAGAACCGAGCAGGACAGACCACTCCTCGGGAAGGTGGCCCGAGACGGAATAGAATGTGTTTGCGAGGTGGGAAGGGGGAGATTACCAGGGTGAGGGCCGGGTGTCCCCAGAGAAGTCAATTGGCTTATCCTGCTTGAAGAGCAGGAAGGCGAAGCGGTGGAAGCCGGAGCCGCGGGCAGGGAAGGGGGGCAGGTATGGACAAGTCTCCTGTCCTTCAGCCACGCTGTTGCCTGGGATATTGGTTCTGGAGGGAGGAAAAGTATCCATGAATTATCAAGGAAGGTGGCAGCGGGAGATTTCCATCCGCGTATTCCCTAGAGACTGATGCCACTTCCTGGGAGGACAAACCCTAAATGATCTTCATCCGACAGTCTAGTAGGAGGCCCAGCTCTGGGACCCCCTGGATAGATTCCAAACTTGTGAAGGGAACAGGAGGGGCTCAGAGGCTGGGGATGGGTGTCCTCCAGATGGTCAGGGAGAGAGTGAGGTCTAGCAGACCGTTTACTAGGCCGCAGCGAGCCAGTGGGGCCGGCTGTAGAGCCACACCGGCTCTGGGCTGCATCTCTGTTTCCTGAAGGCTCCGGGGTTTGTCAGGGAGCGTCTGCCCATCACGACACCATGATGGCTACTAACCTGCCCCACACAGAACTCCCCAGAGAGTCCCTCTGCTCAGACTGGTAACTGCAGTTGACTAAAAATGATAGAAACCAGCCTCCCGGTCACAGGCCCCAATCACCCAGAAGTCCCAAAGCTGGGGTCAGCCGCCTGACCTCCACCACTGTGGCGCCAGAGCCAAAGGCCACTGAGAAAACAGAAGAAGCCCAGCTTGGGCGGCCACAGCTGCCAGAGGCCTCTCGCCGTACTTCTCCCATCTGATTGTCACAGAGCCCCTCAGGGTGGCTAAGGCTTGGGGTGGCATCGCCCTAGATTTCCAGATGAGGAAATGAGTTCAGGGAGACAAGAGGCCTGTGAGAACAGCCAAGGCCTACTGCCTGCTTTTTCTTCCAGACCTGTCTTCAGCCAGTGGATTACAGGCTCCTGACAGCGTCCGGAAGCAGCAGTGCAGGCCGCCACCCAGCGGGTGGCGGGGATGGGGTGGAGGTTTAAACCAAAATCCCACCGCCAATCCCTGGTGGAGCCGAGACTGACATTCAGGTGCAGCTCTTTCCAGCACACCAGCGCCTCCTCACACGTCTCTGACCCCTTCCCCCGCCCAGGTACTCACACCAGCCAGTGGACGTATTCGGCATCTGGCTCCAGCAGGTGTCCGTCTGCACACAAAGAGACCCCACTCACTGCCGGGCCCTGCTGCCCTTGGCCCTGGCCCCGCCACTAGCTCCCCAGAGCCCTGGCTCCTGGGAGGTGAGGGAGGCAGCGGCCTGGTGAGCCCCAGACACCTACCCAAGTTGGTGAGCAGCAGTGTCCACATGGAGCCCTTGTCTGCCTCAAAGGTCACCTCGGGGGCCTGGGCAGCCTGATGGGGAGAAAACAGGGATGGTGTCACCCCCACCAGGGACAGACAAGCTGCTGTAAACCGACCTTCTGGAGGGCAGGAATCTGAGGGAGCTTTGGAGAAGGGAGAGCCCACCCTGATTCAAATGCCCCTGACGGTCCTTTGAGGGGGCAGGTCAGCAAAGAGAAGCGCATAGAAGGAACCCGCACAGTTGCCTGGCCAGCGCTTCCTCTGAACCACAAGGTAGCCCGCACATCAATGCGCAGGGGTTAGTGGCAGGAGCACGCCAAGATGGCGCTTCTTTTCATCTTATATTCCTTCCTTCGTAATCACCGTGGTGCTCTTTACCAGGAAATCAAAAGGGGGAGATGGAGAACCGAACCCCAAACCGGCCTACATAGGTACCATGCTTATGCTCTTAACCACCATAAAAACCACCTCTGTAAGTACTTTCAAAAAGAAGCTGTCTGTGGTCCTGTGGTGAGACATGTCTGTACACAGTGTGGGAAAGGGGAACGAGAGAGCAGTTACCTCTGTGGGTGTGACCTCATTGCCAAGGTACACAGGCATCAAGTCGTCCTCACCCACGGCATAGGCCACATGCAGGGGGACTCGGGGCACAAAGGTGGCACCGTGGAACAGGTCTCGATAGAGGCCATAGTACTCAGCCAGACGCTGCTTGTGGTAGGGGCCACAGGTCTTCTCCCACTCGGCCCGTACAGCGTCCAGCGGGATGCGTGCTGTAAGCAATGATGCTGGTTAGGATGCCCGGTGGGGGCAGGGACACGGTGGGGCCCCTCCCCTGGGAGGGCTAACCTGTGCGGAGGCGGGCGGCTCGCTCCTCCTCTGAGTTCGCTCGCAGCTCTTGGAGGACCCGTTTCCGCTCCAGCAGCT